GATTCTGTGTCTCCCTCTCTCTCTGACCCTCCCCCATTCATGCTGTCTCTCTGTCTCAAAAATAAATAAACGTTAAAAAAAATTTTTTTTAAAAATGCAGATGTTTTTGGAATAAGGAAGTAATAAGAGTTTGAGAGATAAAACCTCTTACAAAACACACAGTTTTTGGTCTTCCCCCTTTCCTCCCATCCTATTATATATCGTATATACTCACTCTCTTCCGATGAGGACTAATTTCCAGCTTCATCACCGCACATTTGTTTAAAGTATTTAGACGCCTACAGAGCAAAGAAATAATATTAGTAAAGATAGGAAACCAATGATGGGTAGATAAATATTTTTTCCAAACAGCTGGCATGCTTAATGAGCTTCTTTATTCTATAAAAAATTATAATTTAGAAGAGTATTAGGAACTTCTTTAAGAAGTGAACAGTTTAAAAATACCTTTACACCTTTCTTCATTTATTTTTTTTTAAACTTTTTTTAATGTTTATTTGTTTTTTAAGAGAGAGAGACAGAGTGCAAGCTGGGGCGGGACAAAGAGAAAGGGAGACGCAGAATCTGAAGCAGGCTCCAGGCTCTGACCTGTCAGCACAGAACCCGATGTGGGGCTCGAACCCACGAGCTGTGAGATCATGTCCTGAGCTGAAGTCGGACACTTAACCAACTGAGCCACCCAGGCGCCCCTACCTTTCTTCATTTAAATTGATTATTGCTATTTTACAGTAAAGTGACACATTGCTATGGCACTATCCGGTATTTCACATTTTCATGGAACAAACAACTCTCAATGAGGGATTTTATTCTTCCTAGAGTACCTAGGTTGGGCCATTAGGTAGCTCCACACAGTGCCAAGAAATAAGAGCCACTGAAGTCTCCTTAGAAATGGGAACAGCAGCAAGGAACCAAGCAGAGTTCTTGGTAAAATAAATGGTATATTCTATCTCAAATAAAAATCCAAAGACGGAAATAAACCAATTTTTAGTTATCTGCAATAAATAATAATCTTAGACACTCTGTTCAAAAATGTAATGAGTTCTTGGACAGAAAGGAAATTGGTGCCTCTCTAAGACCCAATTCTTTTTTACAACGTCCGGTATAGGACAGGATAATGTTGGGTACAGTCGTGGCAATAGTGCAATTACTGAAAAAAATTTTATACAGCAGCCTCAAGGGTCAAAGTCTTTAGAGTTCAAGCAAGAATAAGAACTTGATCAGATTCTTGTTTGGAACAAGGGTCATATTTTCACTTTGGGTACTTTTTTTTTTTACCACTGTCAAGGAGTAACATGTCAATTTATAATTAGGGAAATAATTCAGGTTTCCTGAAAACCAAATACTAAAACAAAACAAAACAACCAAACAACCCCTCCCCCCCACAAAGTCCCCCAAAACAAAGTTCCTCATTGGGAAATAATGACATAGCTGAGAAAAGAAACCCTTTACATATGCAGGAATACGTGGTATGTCAAAGTGTGAATGACAGCCCTCTCTGACAGCTTCCAGATGACCATCACTTGGTCTTCCTCAAATAAGCCTTTAACGAATCTGTCTTCCATGGTCAGCTACCTGTTTTTTCCTACAATTGCAATTCTTCTGTTTTCATAGGAAAAGAGCATTTAATTCACACAAATTCAAACTGACCATAAGACTGCTTCAAGGCTTTATCTCCCTGATTCTGTTCTTGCAACTTGTCTAACAACTTGATGCAGGAGGATAGAAAGTATTTTTGCCTGCTGATAAGACCGCCTTTGATTTCATAGATTATGTGGTAGCCTGTTTATAGAATAAACAAAGATAACTCAGGACGCCTATGTTGCCTATGTTCAGAAAAATTCTCTGTCGATGGGGAGGGAAAGAAAACAAATAACTAAGAAAAAGCCCAAACTTTAAAATGAGTAGCTATAAGGTCCCTCCCCAAGGGGCCAGCCTTACTTATGTGACTGATGCCCACAGTGTGTTTTAGTTCTTAAATGTTTTCAAGATTTAAAGAATCCGGAATGGTTACACTTAGTCTTAGGTCTGGGTTTCATTAATCAAACCTGTAATCAAATACCCACTTGAGTTCATTTGGGCTTTAATGGTTGAGTGGTGTTTATAACCAGGTTTACTAGGCATGGAAGCCTGTGGCAGGGGGGAGGGGCCTAGTTCACAAACTCTAGATTTGAGTCCAACAAAAAAGACCCAGGAGGCAACTTTTATAAAGGTCAACATTATCTTTTTTATGTTGGTAGCACCAAGCTAATGGCATTTCAATTTTGAAGCCTGGAAGTTATTCCTTGAGGTTTCTGTAAAATTCATCTGTTCCCAGGACCTCCAAAGAATGCCCACTGGTGAGACCGTAGCTATTCAGACAATACTGACATGAAAAGGTTGTAGCGAGATGAATTGGGGCTCGCTCTGGGTCAGGCTCCATGCCTGGCACCTCATATGTGTTATTTCATTTTGGTCTCCACAACAACTTTATGGTGTGTGTGTATATATATATATATATATATATATATATATATATTACTATACAACTTTATGGTGTGTATATATATATAATACATACATATTACATATATATATATATTACTATTTTCCTTCCTTTTACAGTTAAGGAAAGGGGGTTCAGAGAGGTCACGAATCTTGTTCAAGGCCACAAGAATAAAACATGGTGGCTCTAACGTTCAAAAAACAGTATCTCCTGCATTCTTTTCTAAAATTAGTCTTAATGATGCTAATATCCAGGAGCAGCTTATGCCCTAAGCATGATTCCTCAAATGAATGGCAGCACATTGGTATCACACACCATCTGTCCAGAAGGCGTGGTGGCTGCAGCCCCCCAGGGCCCTCACAGGGCCCAGCTCCACAGGAACGTGTCGGTCTTATCTGCTGGGCAACTTGTTCCCTGCTCTGAAGGGGGAGGGGGGACAAGATGGGCCATCAAAGCTTCACGAGTTTTGCTGCAGGGAGCCAGCCGCAAGCACCCTGATAAAAGCGTAGCAGGCGGGCATTGGGGCCTCGTATTCAAAACGAAAACAGGGAAGAGTACAAGAGAAGATACATGTGAGGAAAGAAAAAGGAACAGTTTTCCAAATAAGACGTGACAAATAAAAACTGTTGTGATTCTTAAAGACACTTGCTGGGAATCAGTGCAATTGCTTTAAAAATTTACGTGCTTCCCTTTTAATAGAACAGAAACAGTAACAGAGTTGAAATCTGTTATGCGGCAGGCTGCTTTACACAGTGCAGGCATTTCCAGGGCTGTTTTACAACAAAGTGCACACTGAAGATGATGGTGTGGGTATGTACTTATCATTACACGATTATCACCTTATTTACATAATTCTTTGCTGTGTTTACAGGAGGAGTCAGTCGTTAACTCCAAAGGAAAACAGTGATATGGGATATTTTTCAGATGCTAGGGAGACAAAACTCCTGTCAGAAGAGGTATGCTAATGGCAGGTCACAGTTTGCATTATTATCTATATATGCTTCAAGGCAAGCAAACCACTCCCCCAGTATTAATATTGAATGTGACTCTCCCACGATCTTGGCCTTATCATTGAGACTGGATTATACAGCAAAACTAGCAGGACTAGGGCAAAAGCCAATCTCTCCAAGGAAACAAATACAAAAATCCCTTGCAAATATAAGTGCAAGAATGTTGGTCAGCAACCCAAATCCAAAAAACATGGTAGTTCCTGAATTGTAACTTTTGGTCACTACCAGACTTATTAAGATAGTATTATCGTGATTTTCAGGAAAACATTAAACGTACAAGTCTTCTACTCTTAAGTAGACTCTGCTAAGAGATCAGCAATGTTATAGGTATAAGAATGTTTATAATAAATCTTAAAGCAGAACACCAGTGTGTACCTGGGAGCAGTTGTAACATCCGTGTGTGTGTGTGTGTGTGTGTGTGT